GAAAAAAGTAAGCAGGCATCAAGTTTCCCCGAGCGGATCTAGAATTTAGTGGTACCGTTCCTTTCCAAAATATGGTAGAGTGGTAGAATCTTCGTCATGTGCATTTGTTAAGGCAAGGTAGCGCGGAATACTGAAATGTTGCAGAGTCCTCCAGTTGTTAAACAGGAAAGCGCTTTCATGAATGGCTTGTTGGCAATTGTCAGGAACGAGGTGACAAATGCTGAGGTGAGTGATTTTCATGCACTGGATTTCAGTGGACGGATAAGGAAAGAAGAACGGGGGAGGGGGAGAGGGGTAGGCGCTTGCCTGCGACCGAAGAGGGAGGACCAGATTTTGCTACGAAGCGCTCAGTTGCTTTGAAGGCGTTAAACAGGGCCGAATGCATAACTGAATAGAGCATTACTACGGGCCCGCAACAACCAGCACCTAGCATGAGCTGCTCAGTGAATTTTTAGTGATGCGGCGCGCATTCAGAGGTGTTCGTTTCAGATCAAGCAGGAGGTGGATGAGAAGAGGAGTTTCGACGCAGGCGATGTGATGAGCGGAAGTCCGATGTCTTTGCTTCGGCATACTTCAGTAAGCCCCGAGTCACATCTGCAGTCCGTGGCAAACGAGGTCCATTTCTCTTTCACCGCCGCTTTTCCTCATACAGCGAAGTGTCCATATGCCAAAATCCGTCAAAAATAAATAATTCGTGGCACTCATCCGTGGCATTATAATTCGCTTTTCTTTTTTTAATGTTTTTTGTTCGCGGCGCATTCGGGTCGGATTATAGGGTGAGCGAGCATTCAGGCGACTGCGTCCAGCGTGGCTGGCTGCTGCCCTTTCGCCGTGAAGGTGCACGAACTTCGCTTGAAATAGCACGCTAAATTGTCTGTAGTGTTTTAGTTCTAGGGATTGATAAACGAATTAGTGCAGCGCTTCCGTTGCTTCGCCTTTCCCAGCAAGGATTGTTTACACTCAGGCTGTGTCTTTTCGCAGCTACATCACACAAGTAGTCCACTTCAGGATAAATTTGCCGGAGAGGATGAACAGGGAGCAGTAACAACGATTCTGCATGCGCCTCTATCTGCATCGCCTTTTTCCAGCGGCGCCAGCTCGTCTTTGCTTGAGGAAGGCACTTTGCTAAATTCTGAGGTAATTTTTTTTGGCTGATACTCAGTAATGCCGGAGCTCTTGCTTGGAGCACCTCAACTTTCTGATCATATCTGTGGTTTTTGATGAGTGAAGAATTCTGAATTTTATTTGTTGAAATTTTACTCTTCGGTTTACTCTAGT